CCCCCCCCCCCCCCCCCCCCCCCCCCTGATCTTAGGTCTTGCGATCTCTCTTTGAATCTCCTTCCTTGCTCTCTCTCTGACTACAGCTCTCTACTTCAGCTATGGCGCCCTGTGCCGTCACCTATCCTTCTCACATGGCACTGCTCATGCGTCCACGCTGCAGCGCTTCTGAATAGCCTGGCTGCAGCTTTCCCTTTTGTGCCTTTAGTTACCTCCCTCGTGGCTTGTGTCACTGAGCTGCGACCTGATCTGGGCTTGACATATGGCAACCCTCTGCCGACTGACTATTGTCTTCACCCGAATAGAACGCCCGGTCATTATAGCCGTATTTGGGGCAACTTTCCGTCCAGACACAGCCGTAATGACCGGGGATTCTATTCGGGTGAAGTCAGTAGGCACTTCTACTGTTCCTACGGGGACCAGACTTCTGAGTTGCATGAAATCCTTGTGCTGGACCAATTTCGAGGTCCTCGGAGGAGAACTACTAGTTCTGGCTGAAGTTGCCTCGTGAGATCAGCCATGTCTATGAGGCTGTAGGAGTTTGGCGGTGGTGGTGTGGCATGAGCTGTTCTCTTTACTTAAGAAATGGTTCAAAAATGATGATGATAGCTCTAGACTGGTATGCCCATGGACTGTTTACCTATCGAATTCATGAATCCCCCTACATGCCTGCTACAAATGTGCGGCGATGTGGGGTGCAGTCTCATGAAGCTACTCTTTGTAGAACTGCCTGTGCTCTTCCAGGTCTTGATAGTATCATCTGACTCTTAAGCTGTTGACTTTGTTGCTCCCTCCAATTGCTTCAAAGTTCAGCCTCATCTACGATGCGGTTGATGTCACATCTACCATCCATATCAGGCAGAATCATTGATCTACACGAAGGGAAGGAGTGCCCTGTGTTAACAGGCAACAACTTTGAATCATGGAAGAGTAGATAAGTGTCTATTGAATAGGACGTACCGTTAGTGTCTCCCTTGAAATCTAGGAGTTCCCACTGTCCTCTGTACGCGGGTAGAAATTTCAAAGAAATTCCGTCGTCAAACACAAATTCTGTTAGACTTCATCCAGACGAAATGGCCAACTGCAAATCACGAATGTCTGCGGCGCTTGTCAGCGTGCTCTATCATTTTAAAATGCACGTGTCTAATGGTCTCTGCGACTTTTTGAAGGTGTTTCTCATACTTCAGTGCAAACTAGCGAGTTTTAGGCGGCAGTCTTTGAGTTTGATCCAGTTTTTTACTGTCAATTGATCTTTGTGGCTTCATCCACCCGTTATGCAGTTCATTAGGCTTCGTGTTAGTTGACAAGTGCACCAAGTTGCTATATGCCCGGGCTACCTCAGGGAGGTGTTCATCCGAGTGTAGCTGATACTGTCTAATATACATACAAAGGGTTTTGCTGTAACAATTTATTCATCTTTTCTGTTGGACCATGTCTCAAGATGTCTTCTTGACAACATGGCCAACTGTGGTAAATACACATCTGAGTTGCTATCACTGCTCCCCCGTAAACCTAACATCTTTATCACTAATTATTGTCAAGGGATGACCGTGATCCTTGACCCAGTGTGCAAGAAACTTCTAGATTACTAAATCTGCCTTTAAAAGGGCCTTTACCCGATTCAGACCCTGAATGACAAATGCAGCATAGTGGGGTCACTCGGCCAGAGTCCAATTCGTGAAAAGTGCAAGGAACATGAGTATGGACGAAGCACAGAAATCCAGAATGCAAAATCACACTGAAGTCCAAGTATTCAAAGCCAAAGCAGATAGCACATGGAACTGAGTAACCATCCTATTGAGAATGATACAGAAGAATCGTGAGTCAATGTCCATGCCAACCAGGGCAATACCAACAGCATAACCCAAATGTAGCTCTCTCTTGTGAATGGCGCCAGGCGCCCTATCTACTCTACAGCCTATCCTACAACTACAGCAATGAACAGCAACCAGACAACTTGACTACCAGCGAGTGATGATGTCAACACCAATGCAGACCTCCACCATCAC